ATCCTAATATGGATAAAGGTTACAGTGGGTGAGGAATAGTACGTGCCTTGAGCAGGGCGTCCCCCACACCAAGGGCCATTAGTAGGACGTCTCCCACATCAGGCTGGTGCGCGTAACACATTCCCATCACGTAGGTTCCGTCCACCTACATGGACGCATTCCGCAGGTGCGCATCTCACGCCAACTCCTGCAGCTCAGCCCGCTCCCTATCCCTTTGTTGCTCACGCAGGATCTAGGTAACGGCTTCCTCACTGAAAGGGAATTTCACTACCATCAGGAATGCCCAAAAGCCTATGGGCGCGTCCACACCGTTCAACGCCCAGCGGCACAGGTGGAGATGTCTGACTGTGAGCCATTGGGCGATAAAGAACTTCCATACCTCAACTTGATGGAAGCGGCCGGCTGCCATGGCGCTCAGGGGCATGCAACGCGGTGGTCGGGAATAGGCTGGCAATGGTCTGGTGCTCAACGCCCATCCCAGCCTATAAAAATCCTCTTAGACCATGCACTGATGTTAGATAGGTCCTGGACCTGATGTGATATTGTTACATCTCCGCCTAGGCAGACGGCTGGCAATATTTGGTGTAAGGTTCCATCAGGCATGGATGGTTTGCCTGATGGCTGGATGTGACGGTCTCGGTAACTGGTTCCAGTGTATGGTTGTACTGGTTCTCCCTTGTAACCCTTCTGAATATCTTTAGTACATTCTTGTATACTTCATGCGTATCAAACTCCAGTAGTGATTGATGCTGTTGTAGTCTCCTTGCCCAGAATTATGACCTTTTCTCGTCTCAATGCTATTGCATGGGGTAGTTATCGCTAGCCTGGCGGCTCGTCCACTGCAGCTGTATTCGGTTTTGATTCCCTTAGATGTAATCTTGTTAAATTCAAACTGGTCGCCGTAGTCTGCCCCATGTAGCCTTTAATGAAGTTGATGAAGTCATTTGCCACTTAATAATTTACTGGAAATGACCAACTTTAGCAGTGACCAATATCAGTTTGTGGTTATGCATTAACGCTTATTTTCAAAGACGTTGGTATTTATATGACCGAGAGCAGCAGGTCCACTTGAGGGATTTCACTTACCACCACCTGTACGATTGTGAGTATAGTGGAAAGTGGATTTTTATCTATTTTTAGATCATGAGCACAGCCAAACGCATGGAACTACTTCAAAAACTGCACACGCCAGCTGTGTGGCCGAGCGCCAAGAGTACTACTACTGCAAATGCATTAAATGGCCATCATCTGTTGCTGATGTGACAATGTCCATCCAAAATTCTTCCATCTGCGTTCATCTTCAAACATCATTCACGTTTTTGTCCCCATTTTCTAGAATGGTGTGACGATACCGTTTTCACATATGCAATATGTTATGCCTTGACATGTTTGGGGTAAATATATCACAATAGATCGAGAAGACCCGTTGAGCAGAATTGTCTCCATTGACAGTTTCACCCCCCATCGCCTGTCATCACTTCCAGTATCAAAAGTTTTAACGCCTTTTGAAGGAGGTAAACTTGTGTAATACACAATCCCTGCAGCTCTAGATGTTTTTCTATCCTGTTCAACCCTGTGCCTGCCTTCCTGATGATACATTGGGCTGATAGTCAATGTTGCTGAGCCACACTTGCATCGTTGCAAAATCTGACGCTGGGGTGGGTTGGGGTTGGGGTGAAGCGCTTTGCGCCAATCAGCAGTTCTATGCTGGGCTTCCTAAGCGTGACATATCGATACTGTGCGTTCCCTTGGGGAAGACACTATTGGGTTTTGGTTTGCTTAGCGTCAAATTGATGTTAAGGGGGAGAGAGGACCGGCCACAGACGCTAAGAGATCATGTAGTTGCACTAAAATGCAAATAAGGTGAGAAGACATAAAAATGGCCGCTATTCAGCAGCAAACAACCCATAACTTGTTGTAGCACCTCCCTCAAACTTTCAATCATCCAGGTAGTCTTTAAAGGGATCAATTTTCAGCCTTTGCGGCTGCTCTCATCGCCCATCAACGCCTTTGGCATCCCATTTGACAAATCACCACAATCGCCATATTTTTTGGTTGTTTTTTTCCCGTAGAAAGTTTTGAAGCTGCATGGCATTGTTAGGCAATGTTGCTGGGTCATCCTGGCATCTAAATAAGGAATGACGGTGTGAGGTGGGCGGGAGTGGGGGGCTGGGGGGTAAGATTTGTTACAAAAGAGAAAGAGAAACAGGTCATACAAAGTGCATCCCCTCCTAGGCAAGTATATGTGAGGCTCTGCTCCATGCTACGAAAAGATGATATAGGGAGTGGAGGGAAGGGGGGATCTGAGCTTAACATCAATTTGACGTTCAGCGCACCAAAATCAAACAGTGTCTTCCTTTATGATAACGACGGAATATAAGGGGACCACACACCGAGACCACCACCTTTGCTGTGGCCATGTGTTGGGCCTGCGGCATGTGACTGCACCCATGTCCCTTGCACTTCTTGTCGCCCTGTCGACTGCTCAATACACGTTCTGCAAAACTGAGCTTTCGGGCGCCGAGGCTTTCAGTCACGGCAAAGTGGATTCAGCACAGAGCGCATCCCAGCAATGATGGTCACGGCTGGGGTAGGATACCAAAACTTCCCTTACAACTTGGTGTTGGACCTATCAGGCAATCCGCAATATATTTCCAGGAGCCGGCGGAAGCATGGGTTCATTTAATTCCCATCAATGCATATGGTGTATTGAGTGCCTATTGTATTGCAATTCAACAACCTCGGCCCGGCTTTGTCTCTCAACGTTCACAGCCGCTCCGCATTTCAGGTCCGTTTCTGGTGTGTGTGTCGTTCAGACACTAAGGAACTGATGTGGATTCCAAGACGCAAGAATTTCAGAGACTCGGGTGGACGTTCCATCATGTTCCACAAAGGGTCCACATAACTTCTGTCTCACACGATGCACACTGCACAACTGACCTTCCATGGTCTCAATTCACTGTCAACACCTCGGTTGCCTCTGGCGCATTTCCAACCGATCCAACCTCGTCATCCCAAACCATCCACCCAACTCCAAGTCAACCGCCAATGACGAGCACGGTCCCCCCACTCCCAATCCCATGCACATGCGTTTCCCCTACCACGCCGCTGGCTGCTATAGCTGCACCCAGAACGGATGCATGCAGTACCAGCACCGTGGCCAATCCCATCGGATGAACATGCATCCATATTCATCCATTAATGGATCCATGCACATGCCGGCACATGCCCACCGTCTCCAACTCCACATTTAGATCTAAACCACCCCAACAGTCACCCCGTCCACCTGCAGCACTTCCTGCAGCAGCCCCACAGCCGTCGCAGCGCGCAGACGCCTGCGGGTCCCAATGCAAACCTAGCTAGCGGGCCCGCGGCCGGTCAGTAGGCAACCCTGGCCGTCCTGCACATCACGAACAGCCGCTTCCAAGAGCGGCTCGACTTAGTGCTGGACTTGCTCGTGTCCCCCGAGGCGGCGCTCTCGCAGCGCCCCTTGGACTGCGGCCCCCTCGCCTCCGCCGCCTGCTCCTCGAGGAGGCTCTTCTTGATCTTGAGCTCCGCCACCTCCTGCTTCAGCGCGGCGACCTCGAGCCACGCCTCCTTGGAGGCGGACTCGACGCAGCTCTTCTCCTTCTGAGCCTCGTCGGCGCCCCTGCATCCCGTCACACGGCAGGCAGCTGTTGTAGGGCGGATGGTAAAGATGATGTCTGACCGGGGGTCGAACAGGGTACCTCTGAGGGGATGTCCCACTGCTCTACCAATACCACCTGGCCAGGGGTAAGGAAGAGGGGAGTCCGACCCCTAATGTACCCTTCCACCCAACAGTGTCTAAGCGCATCTGCAAGTCATTGCCTCCACAACACTACAGGACTACAGGTGTTAGCAGCCATGACAGTACAAAGTTTCTGCAGATGTTCTTGCACGTGTTGATTCCTTGTGGGATTCAACGTCCAGTTGTTGGGTGACGATGCATTGATCAACCGCCTTGAATAGGGCAGCCCTTTGGGGGTTTGGAAAGGGGAGCTTCCGATCAGGCGAATCCGGCTGGACTGGTTGCGTTCACCGTCTCTTAACGAGGACCCCGGTGCACATACATCAGGCGGGCCAATGCAACAGTGCGAGAGCAGCGGGGATGCTCAGAGTAACACGTCCATACAGGTGCCATTGCACATGCAAGCTGCATCCATTCAACCAGCACGTGCACAGCCCCAAACTGTGCTTACACAATATTCGTATCCAAAGTTGGACGTTGTTTGCATGTCAGAGAAAGTACGACTTTGCGGTATTCCAACTCGAAGCGATCTGACTTGCGACAATAGCATTCAATATTCATAACCTCACAAGCCCCAGCCAGCCTTTCATTCCATGCACCCACCGTCGCAGCTCAGCGATCGATGATTCCAGCTCGGTCACTTGCTCCTGCAGCCTGTCTCCTCGTTCCAAAGCAGCAATTAGCTTTTCTCTCTTCATGGAATCTGTCTCGCCTTTTCCGTCACGCTGAAAACAGTATAAATAGCTAATGAAGCAATGCACAGCCACCATGCACTGGCAAGCAAACAGAAAGATCCATTCTCATGGACAATGCTGGCCATTCTTTTCCTTTCATGTCAACCTTCCTTTTCCTGCTGTGGCTGCTTGGCACTTAGAACTGCTGGCATAATCAGAAACTAACAATGCAGGAACAAGCATACGTGTGCGACTGGGATCGGTGCCCAACATCGCCAATCTTGGTGAAGGGCTTTGTTTTGTTGACAAATGCAATCAATTGAATGCTTGACAAAAGTGTTGGCCCCAACTCAACTGATCTATATCCAGCATGTGGGTACAATGGAGCTACACCAGCATCGGTGCAGATGCAGGGCAGTTCAATGCTGAACATCCATGCAATCGGATGACAAGCAGACAATAAATTTTCATATGAACAACAGCAATGGCAAAATTCAGCGACAAATCCCAGCAAAACCCATCACCAATCCCCCACCACTCACCCACCTTCTGAGGATAGAAACCCATATAGTCCTTTCTGCACAAAAATGGGGTGTTTAGCCCTTCCAAATGACATCCAATTGTTGGTGCTGTCAGGAATGTGCCAGAAGCTGGCAGAAACCAATGGGCAAAGTTGCTTGTGGATCTGACACATACCCCAATGCTGCCCTTTGGCACCTATTGAGCAAGCTGATGCGCTGTGAGCCTGCAGCGAACTCTGCAGGATTTCACGTCAAATCGCTTCCCGACTTCCCTGTTGTGGATTGACAGCAGTTTGATCAGTCATCCTTTCTAGCTCAATTGCCTGGGAGTGTAAGTGCCCTTGCAGGTGTTGATCTCCATGTTAATCGCAATCAATATATGAGGAAATTGAAATTGTTGGTGTATGGGCTTTCAATAACGGACATTGTTGGAGAACAGCAGCATGCAGACAGCCTGCACCTGTGTTGCCAGCAGTCTTCCCGTTGTCTCCTATGACACTTGATATCTCACGTCTGAAAACGCAACTGAGCAGACTTTTGTGTGCAATGGGACAGTGGCCTACCTCTGCTTCCTCCAATATCCTTCTCTTAGTCATTTCAGCTTTTGCCATTGCCTCTTCAATACGCCGTGAAGCATCATGAACTGCTCTTGATGCTGCCTCCTCTGCACGATTCCTAAGAGTGCCTACATTATAGGCTTCGCTGAAAACCTCCAAATCCTGCCAAGTGCGCATATCCAATCTTACAAGACCCAACAAATATGGCACACAAAAACAGACATGCATCACCAACACAGCTGGTATCTGCTTTCTGCTTCTTTCACTCCATCTGAGTCCATGGCATGGCATCTCGTGAAAAGCCATGGCTCCTGAATTTACCAGTTTTATTTTGCAAGCAACTACAAATCACTGGAACACAATTGCCGAAGGAAGGATTTTGAGCGGGTGGCCGGTGATAGCCGATCAACAACCAAACTGCTGGGAATGACCCGCACAGTCAAACGCCAGGCTCGTGCACAATCTGCGCTTTGACATAGCTTCCTCACCCCCCTCCATCACCCCCACCCCCGCGCCGCTCAGGAACTGTGAACAAAACGGTTGTCTGCTCACAAACCCTAACGTTCTCGTGCTTGGTTCGCGGGACTCTTGCCGTACAAATATGGCAATACTCCCAACTGCAGCACCACCAGCTCTTCGTCTTTGAACTGAAGGGACCGCTATTCTTGCCATTTCTGAAGACACCATCCAATTCCGCAAAGAGTGCAGCTTCAAGACATTCCCTTCGCGACGCTGAGCCCGGCCCCTTCCACCGCGCTCACACATCGCCCGAGCCCTCCTGCCGGCCCTGTCCTCGCCGCAAAACGGCGACCTCGAATCAAACAAGCAAAGACGCCGGCGCAAAGCGCATGCAGCCTCCACAACAGCCTTCCCGCGCCCACCTTGGCCACCTCCAAGGCCCGCTCCCTGAAATTATCGATGTCGTCCATTGGGACCCTCCGCCCCGCCACCAAGCCTCAGCTCCTCGATCCCCTCTCGCGCTCGCCAACCTGTTCTGAACCGCGCACAGTCAAAACCGGGCCGCTGAATCAATCCAGCAGCTGCGGGCGCGCCTCCGACGACCCCGCACAAGGCGGCCCCACCCCACCCACCCCCGGCCCCCGCCCAGCATTCGATATCCCCGCCCACGTCCCAGGCCCGCAAGACATGCCAGAGCGCTCAGCGTCTCCCGGACGCCACAGCCTTCGCCGTCGTGCGTGTCGATCACGGCCACGCCGGACCCATCAGCCCGCCAATCCTCGCGCAACCCTCCAACCCATGCCCACAGCAACAGCTCCCTTTCTCGACGCGGAGCTCGGAAACCAACGCGCCGCCGCGATGCGCCCACCCGCGGCTCCCCTCCGCCCTCGCGCCGCCTCGATCCGCCCTTCGCCGATTATCCCTCCCCCGCTTGCCTGGCCTCGCGACGGCCTCACCGCGATGGGTTCAGGGATCAGATGCCCGCCCAGGGGGTTCAGTTTCTTCCTCCCCCACCTGCTGCGCCCGCCGGTGGGCGCCTGGGCACCTGCCGTGCGGCCCGCGAGGGTGGGCCCCGGGCTGCTGGCGCCAGCCAGGTGGGGTCGTCGGGGTCAAGGGTGGGCCCGGGGATCCGGATGATCCGCCCGTGATGCCCTAATTTAAAGTGACCGTCCGCATGATGATGGTGATGATGACTGTCCCTTGGGGAAAATGTCGGGCGCACGCGCCCACACCCCAGCCACTTCCTACACACACGAGCGCCGAGCCCCGCCCAGACGCCCGTCTGCGCCCCACCCACGCGGGAGGGTCCTATGTAGTGACACGTGCAGTCCGCATGGTGGGGAGCACATCGGACGCTCGGCAATGTCGGAACTTTTGCGGAGGGTTTGCGTGCGCCGCCGCCTTGGTGAATGTGGCTGCGGAAGGGCGCGCTGTGCGCACGGCGCAAGCGTACCCGAGGCTGTGTTTTGGGGGTGGCCAGACTGGAGGGAACCTGCTGCCCCTCGGCCTTGTCGGGCTGCTCGTACCGCAAGGCTCGTACCAGTCGTACGCATCCGTGGGCTGGCCGAATGCGAATGCAGGATACTGGGCGCGCCTACCGAGTTTCACTCCGTTGCGGCGAACGGGGACGCGAAGGTACGGGACACACGTTGAAGCCCTATTCTTAGGCGCCAAGGTTATGGTAATGGCATTGTGCCACCGTTCCCTTGTTTTGGAGCGGGTGCCAGTCGTCCAGGGTTTGTCACGGGCGCATGAGGTGTAAAGGGTGAAGTCCAAGCGAGGGCTCGATTCAAGGGCCACTGACCCGCACAGAGCTGCGCAAACATACATGATGGGGCCGATGTTGGTCTGTCAGTGGCCGCCAGCTGCGTCATGTTTAAGCCACTCGGCAGATGCAAAGGCGCGGATGTGAAGTCGTTCAATTTGGGTTGTCTTTACCTGAAGCGTGGCATGCAATTAGCAACCGCAAAGCTTCAAAAGCAGCCTCATTTCTTGCAAAATGTTGGTGTCGTGAGCGATGCGGGGCCTTAAATAACAACCGTACTGAGGGCTCTGTTTCGTTCGAGAGCTCTACCGCTCTTCCCGTCCTTTGTGGATGCCTGGCTGTCCTATGCAATGATCATGACAACGTTGCGAGTCTCCCAGAGGTCAAGTATAGTACCAACAACGGAACAATATGCCTCCATGCCACGGCTAGCCTCCAGCGAGATACCTAACTCTCAAACCATATTTACAATGCTACACTCTTGTACATGCCCCTTGATGAACTGCGGATGTGATGCCATAACGGCCGATACTGTACACATAGCGCCCGATTTTGCACAGGATCCATCACGATTTGGCGTTGAATGGCGATCGCCATTCCCAAATTTCCTCTCAGTGCCCGAGAAGGCACAGGAAGGGACACCCATGACCATGCATTGCTTGGAGCAGAGATTGCCCGCCACAGCCGAGACAGTCATACCCACATCAGCTTCTTCCCACCGGTGCAGCCGTGCACACTTTCAGGCCCATCCCAGCACGTCATGCTGCACCGCGGGCCAATTGTTCGCTGTTCATATCTCAAGCGTCAAACGTGTTCGCACTGGCAAAATTTGGTGCAGGTTCCACAGCTGGG